TAGTCATTTTTAGAAGTTTCCTGTGAGTATAACATCAGAGATGAGTTTTACTGGTATTTTTAAGGACAATTTGATATGATTCTCTGTCTCTATTATGTCGTTTTCAAATGTAAGCAATCATACAAACCTAACAGGCCTCTTTTTTGACAAATTCAGAATTTCCTCCTCCCTGACTTTTGGCCATTGTTCAGTTAGCCCTTTTTCTTCTGCAGGAAGAGGCTGTTTAGAAGAGAGTAAAGACTCTGTCAGTATAACTTGTGCCCATATTCTCTGAGATTTTTTGAAAGTTAATATCTTGAATTATAATCTAAACTTTAGAAAATAGCAATTCCACTTTGTTTTCATCACAGAAATAAATGAACTACTGAGATAAAGGCCTTCTTTGTGTTTGTTCACAGGTTTTCTTTCAGCCCTTAAAATCAGTTCAGCCTCATGACCCCATGTGAAGCTTTGGTGGAAACTAGTGCTCTAATTATTGCAGTAACAGATTTGGTCATAATATGTAAACTCAGTAAATACTAGATGTGGATCAGGGGCCAAATAAAGTACACAGGACAGAAATTGAAGTTCCTTTATGTTGTTTCATCAGGGTTTAAATTAAATTTGATGAGGGGTGCAGTCATGGACCCACAGAACACAGAGAGGAGTTAGACTGTCAGACTTACAGTAATGGTGTAACTTTGTCTTCCTCTCCCAGTTCCAGCATATATACTGTACATACTGTATATAGATTTATAGACATACATACTGTAGCTATACTTTGTGTGTCAGCTTTACATAACTGACTGTAGGCGAGGGACAGAGCCTCATCTAAAATTGGCTTCTTTATTGACTTCTTCAGCTGCTAAGCATTTTATGATGTCTGTAATGTTGCAGAGGAACTACTCTGAAGGCAGAGCTCCTCATTCTAAATTCAATACAGATTAATTTCTCCTCATTATGATTCGGGAGGAGATAATCTGAACTGATGCCTGTTTACACAAGTCCAGGCTCCCTAAAGGTCCAGTGTGTTGGATTCAGGGGCATCTATTGGCAGATATGATAAATAACAGAGCTGCATGATTATGGCCAAAATGATGATCTAAATTATTTTGATCAGTATTGAGATCACCATTATTTATCATGATTATTCATTGTTTTTTTTTGGGGACAAAATATTTTTATTGCATTCTTAAATTTAAATAAACACAGCTCTGCTTTCACTTCAGTGTCGTGCTGCATTGCTGCTAACGGACAAATCTTTCTTCAAAATAAGACTGGTCCTTTTTCACTGTGTGTCTTTTAGAAGCAAAATATAAATAACATTTTGCCAAAACGTTTTTCTCTAAATTAAATCAACATACCATGTTTTCTCTGTCACCCTGTGCTACATTCCTGCTAATTTGTATTGTTTGTTGCAGTGGGCAGTACTGTGTGAGAGTTGACTTAATTATGACTTTAAAAAAAATTGCTAATGTAACAGAGGTGAAAAATTCCACATGATGCCACATTCGTTACACCTTGTCTTTGCCATGCCATCTGATATGTCACTAATGTCCCATGTGTCCCACCTTGAAAACACTCCTGTGAAAACCTCATCATCTGCTGACTTGATTCAAACACTTCAAACATACACATCTCAATAGACTTCATACAAACCCTCTGGAAACTGATCTGTCCCATGTGGACTGTGTTAAGAGGGAACTGACCTCTTTACGTTCAAAAACAGCTTATGGGTCACGTGGAGCATCCCATAATGTGCACACAAAAATATAATAGAAAATATATAATCCTGAAAACAAACTAAGTTTATGGCACCAAATACAAAGTAATGATTGATGTTTTTTTATACATAGTGGCCAAATATGTAATTCTATAGATTTAACATGTAACCTCAAACATGCTCCAGAGTGTGTGTACAAATTCACAGGAAGCTGATCCGTCCCATGTAGCCTGTTTGAAGAGGGGAGCGACCTCTTTGTATTTGAAGACAGTCCCTGGTGTCACATATCAGGCAGCCTTTAAAGAGCACTCTGTTTTAACAGTTAATACAAGTCACTTCAAAGGATGCCAAAGACATCCCATAAACACCCCTCTGACAGAACAAGCTGCCTGAACATCTCAGAGACATAAACACCTTCACACCAAATATTGTCTCTAACCTGTGGAGGGAAAAATATTTCAATAACAGCAAAGTGTTTGTTTTATTATACAGAAATAAAGTCAAGGCTGACAAAGACTTCTAAATGTTTCAGATTATTAAATTATTATGAATCGCCTTTAATAGATAATCACAAATGTATTTCTCTCGTCCACTAACAAATGGCACCAATCTTTAACACATCATGTTCTTGAAACATTTGCGTCACCTGATATATGGGAATTCTGTAACATTTATGTGTTTAAAGAATCTTTTTAAGCTGAAGTGCATCGGATTTAGGGGGATATATGTATATGCATCCTAACCGCCTGACCTGCTCTATCTGCCTTTGGTTAGTGGAAAGAAAGCCAGAACCTTCTGGGTTACATACCTGAAGATCAGAGTTCCACACCTGACATCCATTTTTTTCCCATTTCTATGATTTACCTTGTGCTTGGTCTCACTAGAATGATTTAAATGGGAAATAAAAACACATTTCTCCTGGAAAAAGATCCTTTCAAGTAGAAGTAGCAGCAGAGGAAAACATCTCCAGTGTCAAGGTACTTTTGGAGTTACATGTCACATAATTCGTGTTATGTAGTCCACACTTTGATGGATAGTACTTCATGTCACCACCACACACAGATGTGAACAGAACCTCTGGCACTGTGGCGTCATAAATAAAAGCACAGAGGTCCAGTACATTCTCCCTGCTTGTTAAACCTGAAGACAACTGAGTGGGTAAACACACTCATCCCCTCAGCAAAGGTTCACTTGTCATACTGCTGGCAGCTGCTGCAGAAGCTTTAGGGAATTGTCGGATTTTGTGGCATTTTATTCATCTGTAGAATTACAAAACTGTTTTGGGCAGAAGATGATTTCTCACAAAAGGTGTTTTTGGACCAGTTCTTGAGACTCAGCCCATGACACACCATCAAGGGCTCTTTTTTCTGTTTGCATCAGCACCACCAACAGAAACGATGAAGAGACATAAGCCAGCTATCACATGTGCTGTGAGAGTCCTTACTCTGAAATAGGAGTTGAAGAAGTCCCTCAGTGTGGCGTTTTAACAACTACAACTGTACCTAGTTCATGTGATGCAGACAAAATAAGAAGGGGTGATTCATAGATAAAGTTCCCTCGGTCTGAATACACCTATAGAACATAAGATACAGCAGAATACAACCACCACCTTACTGGAAAACAATATAACAGATGTAGGGCACTTTATCCAGTGTCTGAAATTAAATTTTTGACCAACCAACCAAAGGGCTGGTAGATGAAAAAGGAGGAGGAGATGATGGTGGAGGGCATGACACCTAGGCAAAATGGCTGCTAAGCAGCAGACAGCAGCATAGGGACCAACAAAAGCGGGTATTTTTTAACACTACTTTGAGACATTTCCAGTTGTAATTGTAGTGACAACAGCAGGTATTTTTGACAGGAGTTCGGGATATTTCCAGATATTTCCAGGTGTGTTTGTAGCATCAAAAGCAGGTATTTATTAATGACAGGTCGGGGCATTTGCAGATATGTTTGTTGCAACAGAATTGGGTATTTTTTATCAAGTGTTTGGGACATTTTCAGTTGGTAGTGACCAAACAAGATATTTTAAGCTGAAGCATGATGTTTTCCTACAGTAGCACTAACTAAATGGTTTATGTGCCTGAACCAGATCACATGTTAACCACAGCGCTGTCACAACATAGAATTTAAAGTTGAACTGTAAAGTTTCAACGTATTTACTACATATGAAACATGCAAATAAAACATATCTCTGGTTTGCAGAAAGGTACAATGCCAACATCTGTTTTGGTGAATGGGTTGAGATGCTACATCCTCATAAAATGGTGGGTTTAAATTAAGGTGCTTGGCGGCTGTGTTTTTTAAGAGATTTTGACACTGTCTTTTTTATGGATGGAACAGATGAACCATCACCTTACAAGTGTTGGCTAGATTAAAATTAATGCAAATATGTAACATTCATTCTCAGTATTATAAGTATTGCTATTCACCCTGTAGTTGGTTATATCACACATACCGACCTAAACATGTAATGAATACAGTGCAGAAATATTGTCTTTCATCTGTGTAACCAGCAGTGACTACAACATAGAGGTCTCTTCTTTCATTTTAACAACAACAACAACAACAAAAAAGAGACAAGAACATTGAGCGATAAACATCCTCTCTTTATGTTTTTTGTGTACAGCTTCAGCTGCTCATCCATCAGCTCTCAGTAGGTTGGACCGATCTTAGTGACTCCTCTTCAAAGCCTCACATCTTGATTTACCACAACAACAAGAATGTTATGATCGAGTTGACAGTGATTTATGTCGCACTAGAACTTTTGCCTCCGCTCTCACACACACTCAGGTTTAAAAACATGAAACATGTCGTAAAAGGTCACAAAATATGTGGAAGGATCACCAGAGAAGTTCAGCGTGAAGCACCTTCATCATCAGCATCAGGATTCAGGAGAATATATGTGAGATTGTTCACCCCACCTGCCCTCTGCTGTCACCTCCATGAATGTTCCACACATCACTCACATTAACTTCTTTGCGTCCGATCAGTATATATGTCTCTTATCTGAGGAGATGACAGTAAAGATAGAACTACTCAACTATGCCCTGTTTCAAAGACAAAGAGAAAACAAAACCGTTATGAACCTTTGGCTACGTTCGAGTCTCTGTGCTCACAACAACAGTGAGGAGTTGGATTAAAGTATGTTTGTGTTGTGGGAAAACGTAGGTCTGGGAGTTGGTGTCCAAATATTTTCAGTGGATTGAAACTGTAAGAAAATATTGTTTTTTATTTGATGTTGCTTGGAAAGATGAATTTTATGAATTCACTTGTTTACCTTTGCTTCTTTTACCAGGACAAAGATGGTGATGAACAGCCTCAGCTGACGGTTGACATTGAGGAGCCACATACAGAGGACCTGGAGCCTGTGGACAAAAGTGCAGATCTGGTTTACTCCCTCAATGACAGGCCGCCGTGGTACCTCTGCATCCTGCTCGGCTTTCAGGTAAATGAAGTTCCTGTATTATCCATAGACTGAACAGTGCTGCAGAAGTCCTTCTTTAAAGCGGCATTATTTAATGTTTAACAGGAGAATGCAGAAAAAAATTCACAGACACAAAGCCCCCACAAATTATCACTTTAAGTTGCTTCAGATAAACTGCAACTAGGACTGGGCGATATGGCCTAAAAAAAAAAAAAAAATCTCTGATGTTTTCACAACAAATCCGATTCACGATTTAAATCGTTTTTTTCCCCTCCTAGTTAAAAAAAAAAAAAATTGCATACCCAGCATGGAGCGGCGGTGGAGGATTTTAAATAGAAACTCGATTTTCATTAAAACAAATCGGCCTAAACTACAAATTCCAATTAATTGATAAAATCGATTTATCGCCCAGCCCTAACTGCAACATACAACATCAATTCAGTTCAGTTCAGTTTAGTTTTATTCATAATATCAATATCACAAATCACAATTTGCCTCAGAGGCTTTAAAGCATACAACAATCGGTCCGTGGACCCTCACAGCTGATAAAAACTCCCAAGAAAACCCAAATGTAGTCTTTTTTCTGTTCACCTGATGAATGTTTCGACTCCAGGGAACCTATTTAAACGATCGGGAATACATGGCCTAAAGCAGTGGTTCTCAAATGGTGTGCTGTGATGCCAATCCAGGTGTGCTGCGGGATCATGTGATGACCACACATTATTATTACAATATTCCACTGGGCCTATACAGAAAGTTATGAATGAATTTTTCTTTGACTGTGTCAGTGTGTTTTGCGCACCCATTTCCTAATAAAGAGGCAAACTCTAGCTAAAAAATATAATTTGATTTATTAAATTTAAAAAATCCTTCATGTGGAACCTATTTGTCACGTTTGTGTTTGGGAATTATAAATGTGTGACGCATGAAAAGTCCTGATTGGCAGCCCTATGATGGATGCTAACATTTAAAAGGAGACAGCCGTGAGTAGGACGATGAATTGCTTTATTGTACGGAGCAAATTACAAAAAAGTTCCAGTGAAGATGACCTACCACTTGGAGAAAAGAGGAAAAAAAGACACTTGTCAGTATCACTAAAGCTGCCTGTATTGTTTTTATTGTCTTACATCCTGATAAGAGTGATAACACACGTTATAGAAGCTGCTGTACTAGGGGTGGGAATCTCTAGGCACCTCACGATTTGACTCAATTCTGATTCCGAGGGCAACGATTTCAATTATAGAATGATTCTCCATTCTAAAACGAGCCAATAAGAAAATTTACACTAGATGTTAAAAAACATTATTGTAATAAAGCTGGGAATACATATCCAGTGCATACAAACTGTATCACTTACTGTGGTTGAGATGACTACACTCCACCAGTCTCCTCCGGCCCATCCTCCTCATCCACAAATCTCAAACTCAAACTCTCCTGTCCCTCGTCGACCTCCTCGACATTTCTCCTCCAGTATTTACAAAACTATAACTGACTGTAACTATCTATGAGCTATAAAAATATGAACTATTGCAAAAAAAAAAAACGAACGATGGCAAAACTATGAACTACGGTAAAAACATGATGAAAACATGGCAAAAAACACTCAGAAACACCGACATAAAAAAGACTTAAAAGCTCTCAAAAAACCACAAATACTATTATTATTTACGTATTATCTGGAAAGCTCCGGTTCTCAGCTTTCAGAATCCATTGGAATTACGTCGGTAGCGTGAATGGTAGAGGAGTTATGGTAATTTGAAAAATAAATATAAAAGTAATATTAAAATCGATTCCCCCCACCACCACCACTCCTATGCTGTACACAGTTATAAATACAGGTGTGCCTTGAGATTTTAGCTGGCTCTTTGGTGTGTCATGGCCCAAAAAATGTTTGAAAACCACTGGTCTACAGAAATGTTTCCCGACTGGTGGGTCGTGGTCCAAAAGTGGGTCCGGGGTCCATTCTGAATGGGCCGCAAGTGACTCACAAATGTGTCAAATTTGTAAAAACATAAAAAAAAAAAAACCCTTTATTTTTAAGTACAGTCAATTTACTGCACAGAGCTTTTACTTTATTCCTTTCAATGTCCTGCAGTAAAGTGAGTGACTAATAGACAGCTACTTGACAGAGACAGCAAAGTAGCTCAGCAACATGGCCAAAAGCAAGTATGACGCTGAATGTAATAAACGGTGTGAACCTTGAACTAATGACAAAGGAGAAGGCTGGACCCTGGGGCTGGACCAGCTGGGAACCACTGGTCTGACGTGCATGGTGCTTTTAGGGCGTGTCCAGGTCCACTTTTGCTCATTAAACAGAGCAAAAAAGCGCAGAGTAAAGTACCATGGGCCAGGAGGGTGTATTAGCCTGTTTATTAATCACAGTTGTTTTGGGTTTAACGTGACGTCAACCATTCAGAGTGTCATCTCCTGTTCCCTTTGAAAACAGGTGTGTCTGTACCTGAGGCTCGGCTCTACATGGTGGATTCAGCAAATTAGAGAAGCAAGCGGCTTCCTGTTGAGAATAATGCAGTAAAGGCCTTTGCACACTGAGTACATTTTTTCAGATGAGTTTTTTTTAATGTCATCCAAAAGAAAATTGTTCTGCACAGAAACCTTGCACACTGATTGTGACTCGTTTAATTTTTCTATTTGTTGTGAAATTCTCATTATGAGACAAAATGAAAAGACACATTTCCTCCTTTGCCCCTCTCCTCTGGAGTTACTTATCTGACTGACACCACTCCCTCCCTGTCCTTCATTTGGCACAGCAGCAGCTGCATGAAGGGGGGAGCTGTCCTCCCTCTGTGTGTGGTCCTCATCCTCCTCCTCTTCATCATCAATCCCCCCGAATATCACTATCTGACCTGTTGAAAGTAGCTGTCTGAGTTATGAATGATTCTGTGCGCCCTGTTCCTCTGTCTTGTCTTGGCTGTGTCCTGCTGCCACATTTTCTTCACTGATGGGCTCTGATGTATGTAAAAACGCAGAAAATCAAACCCGTTCTGAAAATTTTAATGACAGATAAAAGCTTCAGACTCAGTTTGCAAAAAATAAATTTTTGCCTTTAATGTACAGGATAGAGTGAAATGGGGTGAGAGAGAGAGCGGGGGGTGACATGCAACAAATGGTTGCAAGCCGGAGTCGAACCTGCGACCGCTGCAGCGAGGCACTATCCACTACGCTACCGACGCCCCGTCTGTTGGCAGCTCTGATCTCTGCTACGTTCACATTTTAGAAAATGTGATCAGTATATTCAGTCTTACTGCACCATTCTGACTTCAGACCAGGTTTTTTTGGTCAGTCGTTTTCTGCAGCCTCAAAATTGCAACAAATCCACAATGCACCTGACCACACCCCATTTTAAGAACTCCACGGCCATGGACGCACAGATAGGCGCAAATACAATTGTTACTTAGACAACGTAACATCAACATCAATATGAAATTGGCAATGACAGTTGGGCCGCAAGCAGCTTTGTGCCAGGTGTAAGATCGGGTCCGAGATGTTTCAGTATCAGTGAGCTAGTTGCTAACTCTCACTGCCATTTGGTGCTGGGCATGTCGTGTACAGTTGGTGTATCAAAGTAGAGTGCAGCTCAGGCTGCATTTTCCAGACCAAACCCGATCTGAGTCTGAGGCAGTTATAACCCAGCCCGACCCGACCTGAGCCTGACGCAGTTTGTTACCTGACATAGTTATTGTTATCATGGTTACAGCTTGTCTGTTTACCATGATCACACATGGACAGTGTGCAAATGACCATCAAAAGGCTGCTGTCAGGCACAGTCAAACACACCGCATGCACAGCAGCACAGCACACATGCTCAGCTGGAGCGGAGCCTGTGTTGCATTCAAGTGTTGTCACATAAATAATAAATTCCAGCACTTAAATAGGCCATAGCAAAACACAGCAGCATGTCAAAAACAAATCACAAATTTTGCTTGGGTGCAGCCCACCCGGGCCCCGTTCTGTCACCGTAGCTGGAGTACTGCGGTATGACGGTAACCACAAAAGCAGTACCGCGGCTCATGTTTACTGCGGTAAGTTACCGTCACCATAGACTCACGAGTCAGTCTTTAGATGCTTTGCTTAACTAAAGACTGATGTCTTTCTCCCTGATTTTGTGTTTAGATGGGCGGATACCATTTCACAGTTTAAAAAAACTCAATAGTAAATCCGCAGGGCAGTCCTTCGGTGGCTTGCTGAACTCTTGTGCTCGTAAACATAGTCTGACTGCGTTAAAAGTTTTAAACAAAGTCGCTCTAAGTCCTTCATTTCCACAATCTTGTGGACTGAGCACACGTTTGATAAAACGGAGTTAAATCTCTCGGCATCCATTTTCAAGCTCTCTGTGTGTTTGTTTCCTTGCGGACGAGAAAAGGGGGAGCGCACATTTCCGGGAGGACGTGTCCTTTTCAAAAATGCAAGAGGCGTTGCTTTGTTGCCGGCCGTTTTCTCCGGTGTGTTAAACACACTAGAGAGGAGTGTCCCCAGACTAACAGAAGGCGGAGATCTCTGATTGTCTGGTGGCATGACATGAAGTTATTAACGTCAGTGCCAATAGAATGTGTAGATTAGTGAAACATTTGGGTGAAATTAAGCGTGCGTAAATGAGCCAAAACAACCATTTGACATACTTCAACTGAATAAAACATCCTGTTACCTAATAGGAAATAGCTGTGTTAAGCAACAAAACATTATTGTCAGGTTTAGTGTGATACCTTCCCCCAGTAATGCCTGTAAAGACATGAGACTGGGAGCCATGCCTATGGCTTTCCTCAAACTGCAAATCCTATTTTAACAGCCCAGCTGTTTCCCAGCATGTAGAGGCCTGTCCTCTCTTTTTCGCTATCTGCTTTTTTGTTTTAAAGATAGTATGAAATACTTCCCTTTGTTCTTCCTGGAGGAACAACACCTCCTTCCTGCTTTGTGCCCCTAAAATCAGTCCAGCAGATCCGGCATCCCGTGGCTCCCAGTATTAAATTCAGAGGAACTCAGTCCTGTTCTTGGTAAAGTCGAAC